GCATGGGGGGCATGCACTGCTCTGAGGCGAGCTTCCTCCTTGTCTGATGTTGCAGCGCTGAGCATGGCATCAGCTTTTTTGTCCACTAGTGGACCATCACCACAAGTGGATGTTGAAAGATGGAGAACACCTCAGAAAGTAAGTCAACTTAGGGAGAGACAGGCATCTTGTGAGGAGGAAGAGATCATCATGGGCATCAATCTTGTCAATCCTGTCCAGCACTCTCCTTAGATCAGTGACTTTTGCATCCAGGACCTCCTCGATTGCTTGTGGGCCAATGGGGGCCCCCAGGAGGGTGCAGTCACGTGGCTCGACAACGAGAATGTCTGGAAGAACATGTTTCATTTGGCCAGTGATGTCTGGGTTGCGGGAGACTATTTCACATTTCGATGCATTGAGAATGAGGCCCAAGGCTGCTCCTGGATTTTCCTTATATCCTCCAAAATGGTATCCGGTGCTCCGGCGAGAGTGCCATCATCCAGGTACCAGATGTTTAGCTCGCTTATCAGACTATCAGTGACCTCTTTGATAGCTAAGCAGAAAAGGAGGGGGCTAAGGGATCACCTTGTTGGACTCCTTTACATGAGTCCATTTCATGCTCCACAAAGAGAAGCTTAGAGTCCCCACCGTAGCACGATCAGATGAATGGGTAAAGGGGACGGAAATGGTTGTATAGAGCCCTGAGGACAGCGTCTCTGCTGACTTGATTGAAGGCATTTTTAAAGTCAAGCTTTACCAGTGCCTCCTGGTCCGAGGGGTCAGCAATGTATGGATGTGTTCCAGCTTCACAGTCTAGGGGGATCCCGAACCCGAGCTGATTAGGTTTCAGCAAGGTGGCAGCTTCCTATATATATATATATATATATATATATATATATATATATATATATATATATATATATATATATATATATATATATATATATATATATATGTATAGCATATATATATCAATGAACCTCGACTATGTACGAGCACTGGCAGGTGTTGAAGGGAAGCCTCGTCCACTAGAGGAGCCTGGCAGGTGTTGAAGGGAAGTCTCGTCCACTAGAGGAGCCTGACAGGTGTTGAAGGGAAGTCTCGTCCACTAGAGGAGCCTGGCAGGTGTTGAAGGGAAGCCTCGTCCACTAGAGGAGCCTGGCAGGTGTTGAAGGGAAGTCTCGTCCACTAGAGGAGCCTGGCAGGTGTTGAAGGGAAGCCTCGTCCACTAGAGGAGCCTGGCAGGTGTTGAAGGGAAGCCTCGTCCACTAGAGAAACCTGGCAGGTGTTGAAGGGAAGCCTCGTCCACTAGAGGAGCCTGGCAGGTGTTGAAGGGAAGCCTCGTCCACTAGAGAAGCCTGGCAGGTGTTGAAAGGGAAGCCTCGTCCACTAGAGGAGCCTGGCAGGTGTTGAAGGGAAGCCTCGTCCACTAGAGGAGCCTGGCAGGTGTTGAAGGGAAGCCTCACCCACTAGAGGAGCCTGGCAGGTGTTGAAGGGAAGCTTCGTCTTTAAAGCTGACAGCTGACAGGAAACACGTGCAGTTGTTTATATACAGTGGGAGTAGGAGGGGGGGAGGGGGGGGTTGCTTGCGGCCAGGGGGGGGGGGCGCCGGGCTGACATCTGGTGGACATGTTTGTAAACTCCCGTGTCACAACTTAACTGCTCTTCATTTCCCAGCTGTGAATTAGCGTTCTGGCTGTATCTGTAGTTCTTGAAACTTGGCCAAAAATGTTTGTGTGTGTGTGTATGTGTACTCACCTATTTGTGCTTGCGGGGGTTGAGTTCTGGCTCTTTGGTCCCGCCTCTCAATCGTCAATCAACTGCTGTACAGGTTCCTGGGCCTACTGGGCTCTATCATATTTCATTTGAAACTGTGTATGGAGTCAGCCTCCACCACATCACTGCCTAATGCATTCCATTTGTCCACCACTCTGACACTAAAAACGTTCCTTCTAATATCTCTGTGGCTCATTTGGGCACTCAGTTTCCACCTGTGTCCCCTAGTGCGTGTGCCCCTTAAATGTACGTGTTAAATAGCCTGTCTTTGTCTACCCTATCAATTCCCTTGAGAATCTTGAATGTGGTGAGCATGTCCCCCCCCCCCCTAAATCTTCTGTCTTCCAGCGACGTGAGGTTTAATTCCCGTAGTCTCTCCTCGTAGCTCATACCTCTCAGCTCGAGTGCTAGTCTGGTGGCAAACCTTTGAACCTTATCCATTTCAGTCTTATGCATGACTAGATATGGACTCCATGCTGGGGCTGCATACTCCAGGATTGGCCTGACATATGGGGCCTCGTAGCCTGGTGGATAGCGCGCAGGACTCGTAATTCTGTGGCGCGGGTTCGATTCCCGCACGAGGCAGAAACAAATGGGCAAAGTTTCTTTCACCCTGAATGCCCCTGTTACCTAGCAGTAAATAGGTACCTGGGAGTTAGTCAGCTGTCACGGGCTGCTTCCTGGGGGTGGAGGCCTGGTCGAGGACCGGGCAGCGGGGACACTAAAAAGCCCCGAAATCATCTCAAGATAACCTCAAGAAGATAACATATGTGGTATACAAAGTTCTGAATGATTCCTTACACAAGTTTCTAAATGCCGTTCTTATGTTGGCCAGCCTGACATATGCCGCTGATGTTATCCTCTTGATATGGGCTTCAGGGGACAGGTCTGGCGTGATGTCAACCCCCAGGTCATTCTCTCTCTCTCTCTCTGACTCTTGAAGTATTTCATCTCCCAGATGATACCGTGTATCTGGCCTCCTGCTCCCTACACCTATCTTCATTACATTACATTTGCTTGGGTTAAACTCTAACATTAGTACCAATGTTGTGTGTGTGTGTGCGCGCGCGCACGTTCATTTTCCCCTACAAGGAAGTGTTCAAGGGTAAGCAAGAAACTGTTTATAGAATCTCAAGTTTGAGAAATGCCGTCAAGCTGTATTAAATGCATGTTTATTTGACAGCTGTAGTTCTCCCTGGAGGCCGTCAAACATGCAGTCAAGTGTTGCCCGAGCTTCACCAGTCTGTAGAAACGGGCAAGTACCTGCTTCCTGCATTCTGTGGCCCACGGGCAAAGTTACATGGCTATGGAGAAAATAACATGACACAGAAAAGCTGAACAAATCCACAAGGGCCGTGACGAGGATTCGAACCTGCGTCTGGGATGCTCTCGGACGCAGGTTCGAATCCTCGTCACGGCCCTTGTGGATTTGTTCATTTGATGCATCACGCAATTTTGATTTCTGAGTGTAATAGAAAAGCTGGCTTACCGTTCTATAACCTATCAGATCGCCAGGATCGCTCTCTATGACTCAATATATCTGATCAGTTCCCGGCAACTAGTTAAATTAACACAGTTTAATATACAATCAAATAAAAAAAACTTTAGTTCAGAAATGGTTGTACATTTATAAATGAGTTACACAAAAAATTATAGTACATTATATACACAGCTATTACACAGACTGTTATTACAGTCGTAATTATAGCATAACACATAATTAGAATTATATACTGAATAATCTAAATTTACTGTATGAATCCCGATATATATATATATATATATATATATATATATATATATATATATATATATATATATATATATATATATATATATATATATATACCTAGTAGCCAGAACTCACTTCTCAGCCTACTGTGCATGGCCCGATTTGCCTAATAAGCCTAGTTTTCATGAATGAATCGACAACCTAACCTACCTAACCTAACCTAACCTAACGTTTTTGGCAGAACCTAACCAACCTATAAAGATAGGTTAGGTTAGGTTAGGTAGGGTTGGTTAGGTTCGGTCATATATCTACGTTATTTTTCCAATAAAAAAAAAATTGACCTCATACATAATGAAATGGGTAGCTTTATCATTTCATAAGAAAAAAATTAGAGAAAATATATTATAGTAAAACTTGGCTTATAGGCAAATCGGGCCTTGCATATAGGCTGAGAAGTATTCTGGCTACTATACGACATATATATATATATATATATATATATATATATATATATATATATATATATATATATTTAAATGATACTTTTATTTTCTTATTTATTTACATTTGGGTATTAAGAGAAGTGGTATAAACGTATAATTAATACATCAAAGTATCCAGTCATTTGAGAGAGCAACTGTAAACAGTTTACACAGCAAGTAATATACACTTCTTTGGTGTATACATACACTTGAGTTTACCTCAGTTCTGACTTATGTTTAAAGTGTGCATACTGGTTGGTTGATAAGTTGATGGTCCTGCATACTGGTATGCAAAGTGTGCATACTGGTTGGTTGATAAGTTGATGGTCCTGCATACTGGTATGCAAAGTGTGCATACTGGTTGGTTGATAAGTTGATGGTCCTTAAGTCCATACACCAAGACAAAGAAGCTCTATAGAGGCGAGGGAGTGCTATATATGGTATAGATATGTATTTACGAATATCTCTGTTATATGTTATCACCGAGTTTTCGTTTAGAACAGCGGTACGCTGAAGTCAAGTTATCCCTCCGGTCAAGTTATCCCGTCAAGTTATCCCTCCGGTCAAATTATCCCGTCAAGTTATCCCTCCGGTCAAGTTATCCCGTCAAGTTATCCCTCCGGTCAAGTTATCCCGTCAAGTTTCATCTCCATCCGCTCATTCTGCTCATCATTTTGAACATTGTTCTCGTGTCCTCTTTGTCGATTCCGCTTTGAAACTTTAGATTTGAAACTTTGCCTTTCCTGTAACTCCTCCTCGTCCACATTCCTCCTCCTCCTCGTCCCTCCTATCCTTCCTCCATCCTAATCCCTCCTTCTCTCTCGTTCCTTAGATAAAGTGGATAGAGGTAGAGGCGTGTTGCTGTAATTATAGTGTTCAAGGGACTCCTCGTGCCGCTCCCGCCACCATCAAGGCTGCGACCGGGTCTTGAAACTCCCGCTTTCACAATAGATTAACCTTGCAGACGCCAGGAGAGTCATTCTGACGCCTGGAGAGTCATTCTGACGCCAGGAGAGTCATTCTGACGCCAGGAGAGTCATTCGGACGCCAGGAGAGTCATTCTGACGCCAGGAGAGTCATTCGGACGCCAGGAGAGTCATTCGGACGCCAGGAGAGTCATTCGGACGCCAGGAGAGTCATTCGGACGCCAGGAGAGTCATTCGGACGCCAGGAGAGTCATTCGGACGCCAGGAGAGTCATTCTGACGCCAGGAGAGTCATTCGGACGCCAGGAGAGTCATTCGGACGCCAGGAGAGTCATTCGGACGCCACCAGATCCATTCCAAAAGCATAAACCGATTACCAAAACACCGTAAACCCGTTCCAAAACCACGAGACCCATTCGAAACTTCAAAGTTTTAAAGCAGAGAATCCTCTCCCGAGTTACAGAAGCCTCTTCGGAATTTTTTTTTTTTTCAGAGGATGTAATCTTCACAGTAAAATATTTTCGGTTTTAAAATGTTTGATAATACTGAAGACTGCATCACACCACTGGGATATATATATATATATATATATATATATATATATATATATATATATATATATATATATATATATATATATATATATATATATATATATATAAACCGTTATAAATAACGGAAATTTTGTCTCGGTCATTTGGCGAACCCTGGGAAGGTGTTACGAGGGTGGGGGGGGGGGTTGACGGGGTGTGACGGATGTGAGGGATGTTGAGGTGATGAGCAGGGAAGGGGGGGGGGCGGGGCGCTGACGGAGGTGTCGTAAATTGGTGGTTCAGGGTACAGGCGATGCCCCAGCCCACTGCGCCAATCACCAGCACCAGGGTTGGTGGTGATTGGCTGGGACACTGACCCCTAGACGTCAGTGTACCGGGCAACACACACCTGACTGGTCAGGTGTGTGTTGATGTAGTTGCTCAGGTGTGTACTCACCTAGTTGTGCTTGCGGGGGTTGAGCTCTGGCTCTTTGGTCCCCGCCTCTCAACTGTCAGTCAACTGGTGTACAGGTTCCTGAGCCTATTGGGCTCTTATCATATCTACATTTGAAACTGTGTATGGAGTCAGCCTCCACCACATCACTGCCTAATGCATTCCATTTGTTAACTACTCTGACACTGAAAAAGTTCTTTCTAATTTCTTTCTAAAAGTTCTAGGGAGTCGGTCGGCCGAGCGGACAGCACGCGGGACTTGTGATCCTGTGGTCCTGGGTTCGATCCCAGGCACCGGCGAGAAACAATGGGCAGAGTTTCTTTCACCCTATGCCCCTGTTACCTAGCAGTAAAATAGGTACCTGGGTGTTAGTCAGCTGTCACGGGCTGCTACCTGGGGGTGGAGGCCTGGTCGAGGACCGGGCCGCGGGGACACTAAAAGCCCCGAAATCATCTCAAGATAACCTCAAGATAACCTCAAGATAATGTCTCTGTCGTTCATTTGGTTACTCAGTTTCCACCTGTGTCCCCTTGTTCGCGTACCACCCGTGTTAAACAGTATATCTTTATCTACCCTGTCATTTCCTCTGAGAATTTTGTAGGTAGTAATCATGTCTCCCTGAACTCTTCTGTCTTCCAGTGACGTGACGTTCAGTTCCAGTAATCTTTCCTCATAGTTCATTCCTCTCACATATGATGAACAACACGTGTGTGTGTGTGTGTGTGTGTGTGTGTGTGTGTGTGTGTGTGTGTGTGTGTGTGTGTGTGTGTGTGTGTGTGTGTGTGTGTGTGTGTGTGTGTGTGTGTGTGTGTGTGTGTGTGTGTGTGTGTGTGTGTGTGGTTTGCTGTCAGTCTGGCCCAAGTTTTGTTGACACATTCACAATCTGGCATATTTTTCCGACCAAAATTCTGGCTCAGTTCCGCGCAGAATATTAAATTGTTTGGCGAGTAATGGCTGGTGTCTTATATTCTGAAAATGCGGACTGTGAATATATCCAGATGAACCCGTTTTTTTTTATTATTAAGGGGAACTTGAGCGAGCGGTCCACACCCAGAGGGGCTCAACAAGGGGCTCAAGCTCAACAAGCAGCTTGATCAGCTTAAGGAAGCGAAGCATTATCGCGCCTTCCTCACCGCTCTATAAGAGCTTAGCAAAATAAGGATTTCAGTATAGTGCTTCGCTATCCACTCCTTAAAAAAAAAATCTGTTTTTACCAACCAGAAGCCTAAACAAAATACAAAGATATGAGACCAATCAACCTATTTACCCAGTCGAGGTCGATGCAAAGAACATGGTCAATATTTAGATGCATTAATCTTGGGCTAATACGCTGCATTTGTAACGCTTTGGTCGATTCCGTTAAAAAGGCGACCTGCTAGGTAAGAGGAAACCGTTGAAACCGTTAAAACCGTTGACGTTCAATGTTTTAAAACCCCGCCCGCGCGCGTGACGTCACCTTGTACGTAGCATCAATTTGGCTAACGAATTTTTTTTCTGTGGTAAAATCTATTTCACCCAACGCAACATAGCCTCACCCATCCCAGTTGGGCGAAGTGGGATGGGATGGGTGAACCTCACCCATCCCCAACCTCATTATAACATAATCCAGGCTAGAATAGCTACAGACAGCCCCCCGCTCCTGTGCCAGGTAAGTACACTACGGGCTCACCATAGCCCGTGCTACTTGCCCCGCTCCTGTGCCAGGTAAGTACACTATGGGCTCACCATAGCCCGTGCTACTTGCCCCGCTCCTGTGCCAGGTAAGTACACTATGGGCTCACCATAGTCCGTGCTACTTGCCCCGCTCCTGTGCCAGGTAAGTTACGGGCTCACCATAGCCCGTGCTACTTGCCCCGCTCCTGTGCCAGGTAAGTTACGGGCTCACCATAGCCCGCGCTACTTGCCCCGCTCCTGTGCCAGGTAAGTTACGGGCTCACCATAGCCCGTGCTACTTGCCCCGCTCCTGTGCCAGGTAAGTTACGGGCTCACCATAGCCCGCGCTACTTGCCCCGCTCCTGTGCCAGGTAAGTTACGGGCTCACCATAGCCCGTGCTACTTGCCCCGCTCCTGTGCCAGGTAAGTACACTATGGGCTCACCATAGCCCGTGCTACTTGCCCCGCTCCTGTGCCAGGTAAGTACACTATGGGCTCACCATAGTCCGTGCTACTTGCCCCGCTCCTGTGCCAGGTAAGTTACGGGCTCACCATAGCCCGTGCTACTTGCCCCGCTCCTGTGCCAGGTAAGTTACGGGCTCACCATAGCCCGTGCTACTTGGAGCTTGTTCCGAGTAGCTGAATCTATAACAACAACAATAGCCGAGCTTTATTATTGGGTTGGAACCTCATCCTGGACGCCCCAGAGACCTGTTGTTGTTGGCTCCAGGAATCAATGTCCCCGCGGCCCGGTTTCTGACCAAGCCTTCTGGGTGGTGGTTTGATCAACCGACTCCGGAGCTGCTCGCAGTCTCCTGCACGAAATCATAGCTCTGTTGGTCAATATTTTTTCATTGCAAAAAAAAAGTTTCGTGTGTTTGGCCTGTTTGAGCTTATCTTGAGGTTATCTTGAGATCATTTCGGGGCTTTAGTGTCCCCGCGGCCCGGTCTTCGACCAGGCCTCCACCCCCAGGAAGCAGCCCGTGACAGCTGACTAACACCCAGGTACCTATTTTATTGCTAGGTAACAGAGGCATAGGGTGAAAGAAACTCTGCCCATTGTTTCTCGCCGGCGCCCGGGATCGAACCCGGGACCACAGGATCACAAGTCCAGTGTTATAGCTTATAGGTAAACAGAGGCGGGAAGGGAATTGTCAGGGGAAAGCGCCAAGCTGTTATGACTGTATAGCACTGGGAAGGGACTGGGATAAGGATTTGGGATGGGACGGCGGGGAAGAAATGGTGCCCAACCACTTTCTTGACGGTTGGGGATTGAACGCCGACTTGCAGGACGCGAGACCGTCGCTCTACCGTCCTGCACAAGTGATTGGGACAAAGACAGGGCGGAGGGGTTCGTATTCCTTGGGCCCCGTGTTCCTGTCGACCGGGACCCTTCCAACACACCAGAAACGTAAGTGCAGAAACATGGAAAGTCGTACTTACGACTGATACAAGTTACAGCGACGATTTTTTGACCAGACCACATACTAGAAGGTGAAGGGACGACTACGTTTCGGTCCGTCCTGGACCATTCTCAAGTCGATTGAGTCTTGATTCACAATCGACTTGCGAATGGTCCAGGACGGACGGAAACGTCGTCGTCCCTTCACCTTCTAGTGTGTGTGGTCTGGTCAACATTCTTCAGCCACGTTATTGTGACTCCTCGCCTTGTAACAGGGGGGGGGAGGTTGATCGTATACATGAAAGAGTGCAAAATACTTGCACTGTTACAGCCTGCTTACAGCGGCGAGTTCATACAGTTCCCGCCACGACCAACGACACTTGGGGGGGGACTCTGGTATTTTGCATATCCGTATTGGGGGGGGGGAGAGTTTTACCCCCTCTGACCGTTGATAAGATGACAGTAATTCCCCAGGTCTTGGCTAGCATCTTGGCCAACGCTCGTCACCATTCGCGGCAAAAACTCACTAATGTTGGGCTCCGGGCATTTTTGTGTATTTATTTTGTCATTAAGTTGATCTATGTGATTAACAACATACAAATTAATTTGCAAAAGGTTTATTAACCCATATAAGGCAGTTTTTTTTTTCTTTTTTTTTAATATAACCAGAACTTTTATATATATATATATATATATATATATATATATATATATATATATATATATATATATATATATATATATATGTCGTACCTAATAGCCAGAACGCACTTCTCAGCCTACTATTCAAGGCCCGATTTGCCTAATAAGCCAAGTTTTCATGAATTAATGTTTTTTCGTCTACCTAACCTAACCTAACCTAGCTTTTTTTGGCTAACTAACCTAACCTTACCTATAAAGATAGGTTAGGTTAGGTTAGGTAGGGTTGGTTAGGTTCGGTCATATATCTACGTTAATTTTAACTCCAATAAAAAAAAATTGACCTCATACATAGAGAAAAGGGTAGCTTTATCATTTCATAAGAAAAAAATTATAGTAAATATATTAATTCAGGAAAACTTGGCTTATTAGGCAAATCGGGCCTTGAATAGTAGGCTGAGAAGTGAGTTCTGGCTACTAGGTACGACATATATATATATATATATATATATATATATATATATATATATATATATATATATATATATATATATATATAAAAGCTGAGAGCTTTTCACTTTATTTTAATTTCACCTGCAGCACGCCCCACCAATCAGTTAACAACCTGGCACCCAATTACCGCTGAGTAAACAGGGGCGAACAGTTAAGAATTAAGCGCCCAGTCAATCCTCCATGGCCAGGACTCGAA